AAAAAAAAAAAAAAAAAAAAAAAAAAAAAAAAATTGACGACACGCGGGCCGCATTACCAGTCATTTCCCAGCCTTCGTCGCCTCTTTATCTTAGTCACTAGCCGTCAAGCGACGCTATTTAGCGAGTTCTAATGAAAAGTTGCCAGACAGGATGAGAATACTCTAGCTGAGCGGAAAGTTTTCGCTCAGACATACGAGACAAAATGGAGCAAATACGATGTGGATGATCGAGTTCTAAAGGTCTACAAATAGCAAACGAATATTGATAAATTTTTTTCAGTGCCTCAAGTTGCTGGGACCAAAATAGATTTAAACACTGTTATAAATTTACACTATATTAATATTAAAATCAATATGATAAGAATAATATATATAGATAAGACATCGCATGATGTTAAATTCACTGATATTTTATAGAGTACGATAAATTATAGATGTCAATTAATTATATGTAGCTTCAAATGAGGGACTTAAAAAAAAAAAAAAAAGAAACGTCAACTCAACTGTCGTGAATGAATCAATTTTATAAAATGAAATTTATGAAGTTGTTCATGTATATGAGGGATCCTTATAAAATATTCTTATGGACCGTGGTCCCTCGAGATTGGGCGATAAACGGTCCTGGACGGAAGGTTAAGGTCCAAAAGCATATGACTTTATGCGTAGATATATTTATCGGTTCGCGATGTTTAGTTCGATCGAACGTGCGTATATTTCGGGGTGGTTGCTTGCTCGGCGGCGCGAGCGATGGCGAACGTCAGAAATAGCCGAGAAGAGGGCGGAGGCGGAGGAACGGAGGGTGGGCGAAGGGAAATGGGATACACACGCGACAGCGTCTATGGGGTGTCTCAGAACCGATCCAGCCTTTAATATTAATGACGGGCACATCGACGAAAATGGAGTCGGTAGTGTTTCCCCGAGAGGGATATTTCGTAGGAGACCATTACCGTAACAGCCGACATAAGTCATCTCTAATTGGAGTTCTAAAATGTTCACCACAAGCGGATACCAGGAAAGCAACACGGTTACTTCAACGTATGTTCGAATAAAACCATTATTGGCCGATTATACTCCCTGCTTCCTTAGTTTGCAGGAAAGGCGAGCTTTCGCGACTCTTATAGATCGCTTATGTAGATCGTGGAATCACCTCTCTCTTCGCAAAATTTAGCTCGACTCCGACTGGACTGAAGGTTCTCGGACACCTTGTATGCTAAGCGGTACGCGCACGTGCACGATGCGCGAACCGAGCAGCCATCAGGAACGTCGAACGCCGCGCCGGCATAGCCATAGGCACAAGTGAAAAGGAACAAGGGCGAGGAAGAGCGTCGACGGTCGACCGTTTTAGACACGCATCTTTCGTCGAAGAAACATCATTTATCTCGACGTAGCCGGGAGTGAGGGTGGCGTCTTTTCCCTCGCGTTCCCCCTTTCATCCTCCTGTCTCTGTCGCGATCGTCTTCAACGACGAGAAGAAGCGGCGACAGATCTCGCAGGCGCGCGGACAGCCGCTCGACAGGCGGCTCGGCGGCGACGGTTTTGTGCGTCTCGCGTCTTCGCTCTTTAACAGCTCTTTTTGAGAGAAGCTCGCGGGTGAGGCGCGAAGCCTTAGGAAAGCGGGGGAAAACCACTCGTTAACGAGCTAACGAGTATAATACGTACGAGAGCGCATGGTTTCTCGCGCCAACAACCGAAATCGGATGGAGACACGAGAAAACCCAAGAAGACGACTTAACTCGGGGAAACATGACGAATGGGCTTCCTCGTAGCGGAAATGGAATGTCCAAGTCCACATTTAAATATATTCCTTTTATATAATGTGTTAAATGCACTTTTCGTGCACGTGGCAATGGTTTCTTTGTGAAACCGAGATAACTGCAGCCCGTTAACAAGAACGTGTGTTGAGTCGGGTGTGTCTTTTTTTTGTTAAGAAAAAGGAAGTTTTTTTTTTGCGCATTGCTTTTCTCGAGGATAAATTAATAACGCAAATAAATTCTTTGCAGTGTTTTAAGATGCTTACACTAATATCTCACTTGTTTTATTTTAAATGAATCCGAGATAGTTTTTCATATATATAATATTTTTTTGATAATTTTAAATCTGTTTGATAAATTTATAAGGATAGCAGGGTTTTTGAGTAACATTAATTTAAAAATGCTTTCATTTTTATATTTCTCCTGCTTAGACATAAATAAGTGATTCATAGGAAATAAGTAGCTGTTAAATTTAAAATGATTTTCTATTACACACTATAAAAAGCTTCAAACAAAAATTATTTACAACGAGCACAATATGTATTAGTTTTCAAAAGAAATACATCAGTTTAAAAAAATTGGAGCCGATAAGATAATTCTAACTTCATTTTCAGAATCGGTAAAATACATAAGAAATACATAAGAATCAATCAAAATATTATCCCATTTAACAAAACCAATGTTGTTAACATTATTATTCAATTAACGATCAATGAAATTTAGATTGAGTTTTAAAACCGATTGTGTCCGGCACATAGTTTGAAAAATTGAAAAAAAATGTATTTAATAATCGTACAAAAATATAATTAGGTATTAAAGTGCCTTCTCTGTTTGTGTTACTCACAGAAGCGGTCTAATTTAACTTATTATTATAAATAACACAAAATTATTTTATTAGTTTTTAACATAACTTTACCTTGATAAATTCTTAAAACATAATTATCATCATGCCTTAATTATGTTTAATGTGTTATTAAAATTTCACAGACTGACGAAATGATAAAGGATCGTCATTTGTTGAAATGCCAAATTAAAAATTTCGATAGAAAATAAATCCCCGCTCTTAAACAGAAAATACTTTCATTCATCAAATGCGTTTATTTCTGAATACCGTGAAATTTCCCATGACATTTTTACGCAAAATTAATAAAAACATTCCAATAATTAATATTTCATATTTTTTTTATCAAATCAAGGCAATAAAAATATAAGCAATAAAGCGTTCAAATTCCGAGTTAATATAAATTTATTTCCGAGAGCACAGAGTTAGTAATTGTCCAAATAATTTTCCCGAATTTCACGAGGTTTTAACTCGTGCATCTCTATCTTTGACAGCTCTGAAAAAGAGCTAATAAAATAATAAAATTATAGATATCATTCCAGATATAATAGCAACCTCTAAGGAGCTCTAAAGCAATGTTAACAACTTAATGCTACATATTGACATGGTGACTTCATTCGATAACGTCGTTATCTGAACACCATTGCATCAATTCTTTCCATATAAAGGCCTTTTAACATTCTTTAAGATGATAGTAAAGATGACATTACAATACACCGGCATGCGAGGTGAAGACGACTAAGTGGCGTTCAAGGACGCTTGTGTAGACGAATAGACGTAATTATTCACCGTTCTCTCATTGTTCGTCTTATTATCGAATACGGTGAGCATACATGCGCTCGTTTAGCAATCACGTACGTGTATATATGCTTGTACGCAGACAAACTCAGTCCATTCGTAGGTGACTCACCGTTTGCAGAGGGTAAATCGACCAATGGTAGTATCAGCAGCACTAACACCGATAGCGGGGCAAGGATCCCTTTTCGGCGCGGGAATGCCAGTTCCTGCATCCTGGAAAATATATATGTATATCTTCATTATATATTAACGTTGAATTATGCATGGCGGTTTATGTGCGAATTTCTTACGCGAGCGGCGAGTATTTGTCGAGATGTCTTATTTTTTTCTCAACAAATTGCAAGTTATCGAGTGTAATTGTGTAATAATCTACTGGAGATGAAAAAAATAAAAAACATTTTTTGCCCATCATAATGTGTGCCCTTTCGAATCGATCCTTTTTGATGATATTTTCTCCTATCATCCAAAACAATGGAGATATTTTAAATGATCAAGTTACAGAAAACACTCTGTATAATATTTTATAATACATTTAAGATGTCAGATAGATATTTAATATATCGACATGTTTAAATTTAATTATATTGCTATTATGATATAACATCATAAAATTTCGTATTATGTCACAAGATCCAACTACCGTTTTATTTGTCACAAAAAATAATTTGCTTTAAACGAATGCTGTTCTTTGTACCAGTTTGTACCATCATCAGTTTCGACAGATACAAACGATCCGGGAACAAGCACCCGTTTAGCATTTTTCCATCCTTTATAATTTTCAACTTCTTGAAGTACAAACAAAAAGGAAGAAGATACAAAGCGAGCTTAATTACATACCGAGCTTAATTTAATGCTTATTAAAACATTTGTTAATTGACTTAAAGTCGGGTATCAGATTCACATAGGTTAATTACAGCGCCGATTCTTATAACTTTTTATTTTCCTATATCCATTCTTAGAATGGAGATGACGTGAAATACATAATTCAAATAACAAATCCATTCTTAGAATGTCAACGTTTTCGTAAACATTGCAGTTCACTTTATCAGGAGCAGCCTACAGATACTTAGATATTCGTTATGATACTCAGGTCTGCCCTACATTTGTCCCCTCGCTCTATATTATGTGTAATAAAAATCGATATTATAACGATATTTAAAAAATGAAAGAAAATCCGACGTGGTACTACTAACTGTGAGTGATGTTGTACGAATATTAAAAGTAGATCGCTACATAAGTAGCACAAACGACGTGTCTTCGTGACGATAAAGAACGAAGCATGAATAGTGGGGATAGAAAAAGGTGATAGATAACTCGATGTATAGAACAGATAAGATAAGCAAATCAGGTTTATTTACTTTGAAGTAAATGCTTTAAAAAAACAAAAGAAGAGAAGGGATAAAAAAAAATAGTACATAGACCACATAACAAAACAATAGATATCGATTTACAATGCGACATTATCACAAAAAAAAAAGTAAATTAATATGACAACAAAATAATTATATAATAAGATAAAAAATTGTGAAATAAATTGTGGATATAAATCTGAAAGAATAATGTACCGAAGTAATAGACCAATTTATAATTATTCAAAATGAGGCTCTAAGGAAATGATTTTATTACGCGCGCGATTAAATTGAATTCAATGTTTAATATATTGATTTCATAACGCAGCTCGATTTTCTGAATTATTACAGTTCCATCATATTGAATTTATTTCATCAAATTCGCTGAGATACGATTCGCTTGGTGATTTAATTGAAATAAAGGCGACGTTATTTCTTACTAAAATTCTTCCGACAATTCCCTTTGTGTCTCACCTTGCGTATATTATGCCTAGATCTAAGTATGTTTCAAATTCATGGAAAAACATGGGTATTATTCCGTCACCAAAAAACCGATGACATCACGGAACTTAGAATTGCTGTGTGCAATGTGCTACACAACTACTAGGTATCGTAAATGAATCATGTGCTAGATAAAATCGATTTCTCGAAAACGACTAATCGCTTTCTGTGAATAAAAGGGACATGTCGCGTGGATAAACATACATTTTCTTTGTATAAATTGTTTTCGTTTGATTTCATGATTTGGGAAATTTCTCCCTTGTGTCAGTAAAGCTGATTAAATTATCCATTTCTACTAAGTTAGATTAATTTTAATCTCGATTTAATTCACTATTTGTATCTTTCTCCAGTTCTAAGAATTTAAAAAAAAAGAGTAAGATCACAATAAAGAGATTAAAGTTAATTTATTGATAAAAATGGACATGCTACATATCGTGCTACATATTCCTAGATATCGAAACTTAATCAATTGACGGGTAAAATCGATGGGTAAAATATGTTAGAACGAGAACAGCTAATCCTGTTCTGTGACTTGCAGATTATAGGTCCCGCATCCTACGCTCTCGCCGAATAAAAACACTCTCAAGATGATGAAAAGCTAATAAATTCGAAGATTTGTGCAATAATAATTCTTCCTACAATTTCACACAAGATTTATTAAGAAGCGCAAGAAAAACAAAATACCTACATTAATTGCCTTGAAAATCAGCGGCAATCGTGTTTACTTTTAAATTTTCGTCGACCCAGATATATAAATAATAAAATTACGTAACCGGTAATTTATAAAAACACAAATTAATCACACTTTCACAGCAATATATACACCTACGTACGCACTACGACACTCTGATTGTAAGAGACGAAACACTGTAGGCGAACAACTGTCCTGTAAGAAAGTCGAACAACACAATATTATTATGTCCACACATATCCACCTTCCTCTTCTTTTTACACCAATTTTACAATCGCACCGATTCTATGAGAATCGAAAATTTACTTTGCGTTCGTGATTGTAACCAATGCTCATCTCTATCATGGAGACGCTCTAGTCAATGCAATGGTATCTTTCGCGGGACCGGAAGCGAAAATCTAGAGCGGGAAAAAGGAGAGCAACGCGATGAAATCCGCGCTCTACGCGGATCGCCGTCGTCGATCGCGCCGGAATGGAAACGAGATGGCAATCGACGGGTATAGAAGAATCAACGAGAACATCCCGGCGCGACGGGCGAAGCCGCGCTAGAGACGCGACGTCGAGCGTCCACGTACGTATCGCCACGTGAATGGAAAGAACAGCGGTTGCATTATTTAACAAGGTACACGTGTACCGCTCTGCTTTGTTACGGTGCGCGGCAGCGATGCGACACGAAACGTGAAACGGTCTTCCTCCGTGTCGCGTTCGCGATGCGCGCAGGCAGCGCGCAGGCAGCGTCATCGTATCTCATATTTGAACATGCGTGTTTTACGCACTCGTCACGCAATATCGATCTATTCGGCGCGATGCGACACGACGGCGTTCCAATTCACCGGAAGTTCGTCGATCGCACGATCTCGCAACGGGAACCCGCATCTTTCCGCATTTTTTCGAGCCTTTTCGTCGTTCCAACTCTTCTCTATTATCCAAACCGAAAAGAAATCGATAATTTAATTTCTTTCACGATAAAATGAAGAGATTACTTTTAATTCAGGAAAAAGAAAGACATATCGAACTTGGATACTTTCCGAAATAAGTAGATATTATCGTCAAATATTATATTTTAACAAATGAGTCTCAAAAAATTTAATTTTCGTTAAGATGATATTTATTTAATGGTCATTGGAAAACGAGTTTTTCTATTCTTCGTTATCTGAAAAGTTCCATTCGTATTCTTTAAATTACAATAATGTCTTTTCACACAGTATTGAATTATTCCGTAACTACCGGTGTCTTAACATCGAAATAATCGCCATTATTCTTGCCCTTTCTAAAGCGACTGCGATTAAAACTACATTCGATAGCGGTGGGAGAACCTGTGTATTACATGTAGGTAGGATTATAATATATATTCTGAGAGAGACAACGATAATCGCTAACCATAGTTATTCAACTAAAGCTATCAGCATGATTAAACGCTTGCGTTAACAACGGAGACTTATTTACAAACGGACAAATCTACTCCAAATATACATCGCACGTAATAAATTGTTGTGATTTACAGTATACAGTCAGATTTTTCGAAAGCGAAGCTATTTTCATCGATTGCAAAAGTCATCAACATAACTGTGATAAGCCGTGTATATCTTTGCGGATACATGAATATTAAGTAAATTAGAATTATTAATTTATGATTAAAAGCATTAAGTATCAGTATTATCAGTTTATAATTTAAAAGTGTTACAAATGATATTCAATTGTCATTACATCAAGCGATAATTATATTTATATTTACAAATATTTTGAAGGCAGGGCTGAGGGCATTGAACTACTTTTATTTTAAACACAGTATTTATAATACAATTTTATTTTGTATTTTGCATTTTAGCATAGCACAATGCAAAAATATTTTTCTCGTATTTTGCATTTCAGTATTTCTTCAAAGTGAAAGACTGAAAGTATTCTGTATTTTGTAATTCAAATAATAAAATTGAGTGTCAGTCTTAGTATTTGAAATACGAAAATGCAAAATACTTTCAATCCCGCTCCGCTGAAATATAAAATACTGAAAATACAAGATACAATTGTGTTACAAATGCAGCTGTTTTTCAAATAAAGATATTTCAAATACAGTCCTGCTTGAGGGCTATACGAATTAATACGAATTCGTCGTGAATATGGATGTTGCGTAATATGGTAATAATGTTACACACAGATTTCTTCGAAGTGCATGACGTTTTATGATATGCGATATCAAGTTTTCTTCTTTTATTTAACGAAATTCACATAGTGAACTGTTTATATTTATCTTAATTGTTATCCGGTTATTGATATCTAAGGTTGCTGTAACTGAGCGTAAATAAATAAAGAGTAAAGCAAATAAATGCCAGACGAACCGCTCCAGCTTCTTACTGATGTAATGCTCACAAATATTTAAATATTTCTAAGGTGGAATATCATCCGTTTCCCCTTTATCGTGTAATTCACGACCGTGACTCGAAATCAACAGCGCTTGGTAAGTCCTACATTAAGAAAAAAAATTTTTGACGTTTGTTATAATTATATATTACTACACTGAAAAAAAATATAGTTAATTTTAATAAATATTTAGAATATTGCCAACTAAGTATTTATTAAATATAAAGATATATTTATTTGATACAA